AAGATTGTGATTGGACAGGAGGCAGGTTAGACCTCATAGAGAAAAGCACCCAGTGTGGGTCCCCTGATTCTGAGAATAACATGATGCCCCAAAAAAGCAGAAGCTGCCCAACCACCACCTGAACAGGGTTTAAAGAAAGATCTTTGACAAAATGCTTAAGGACACCTTGGAACAAATATTTAGAACAGCTATGAATCCAAGAAATACCCAAGTTATAAAACATCTAATGATGGTGGCTGAACTGAAAGCAAATAAGCTGGGATCAGAAAAAAAGGGAATATTTCTGATTTGGACTATAGAAGACAACTGAAATGGAATAAAAAGCATATGATGTGTTCATTGAGGAAACACAGGATTTAGAAGGCAGGGGGAAAAGTGGGGATACATTAAAGGGAAGAAGCTCGTTTTAGATCTGCCTGTGTACAAATCCCACAGAAGGTTCATTTTTGTTCTTTATGTGCTGTTTCAGACCAAAATGATTTATATCTTGTAAATCTCACTTACCCCGCACTTCATGAAAGGCCTAGTAAATAAAAATATATACCATAAAAGCATAAAAGAAAAAATTCTGGTATTTTCCTTTAAATGCAGTGATTTGCACACAGTAGATTAAGTTAATAAATGTTTTGTCTAATTGATTTCGATTAAGTTTAAAATTTCTTTTAGGGACACTGATTTTATCATAATTTAGAATTCACTTCTAAGCTGAATAAAAACTCTTAAGTACTCAAACTAAAAAACAGACCTGAATTTGGATCTTGGATATGCCACTAACCAATTCTATGACCCTGGGTTATTTAATTTCTATTATTTGATTTCCTCATCTGTAAAATGGGTATAATAATCCTTACTGCTTCCCAAAGTGAACATGTGGATGAAGTGAGACATCACTCCATAAGCAAGAATCTAGCCAATGCTTGGCACAGAGATGGAACTGATTAAATGCGAGTTCTCGTCCCTTTCCCTAGTGCATCATAATGTAATGTGATATTTTGAATTTTAATTCAGGCAATTACTTAAGTAGTAATTGCTATTTGTATTTACATAGCTGCTTTGATCCAAGAAGCTCAAAGGGCTTTACTAAATTTAGCATTTTAATAAATGTTTCATTTGCATTCTGTTGATTCTGTTTACCCACACCAAAACTTAGAGTTTCCTAATGCGAGACAATCAGACAGGGAAACAAGATGGTCTCTTTACATTTACAGTTATCCCAGGCCTGAGTTTTGTCTATTTCCCTAAGAAGTTGAGACTCTCTGTTCCTATGGAATCAAATGACAGCAAGAGGCTTGAATGCACCTGCTTATTCTTGCAGCTCCTTTAGCTGCTGCCACTGAACTCGATCCCCACCACATTTTTCTCAGGCACTGACAACAGAAGCATGTTTATTGCACCAATGAATTTATATATAATCAGCACAATAAACATTATTAAATTGTCGGGAGAAAATCAAAGCATGAGGCATGGTGCCAGTACTGAATTCTAATGATGCTGAATGTCCATGATTACACAGGGACAGGATCTTAACAAGCCTTGATTTGAACGTTGGCATCCGCCTCACAAATCACATGGGCCGCTCCTCCTGTAATAGTGCTGAATATTGATAAATGTCCCTACCCTGCTCAACAGGGAAGTGGGTTTCTATTGGCAATCTTTACCAAAGTGTGTTTTTTCCCTTCTCTACACTCAAGGGTTTACCCTGAATGATTTAATTATAATTTTCCTTGTGTAAGACAAATTAAAGAGGAGAGTAGGAGTGTCGTGCCAAGCACATTATTTATCTCCTTAACAGATTGCAGCTCACCAAACCCCAGAGCTGCTGCTGCTGCTACTGCAGTGGCTGCTCACAGGAGCCAGCAAAATGCACGGGGGCAAGAGTAGGGGAGAAGGAGTTTTCCAAATGGCATGGAAATAAATACGTGACTCAGCTGAGATCATTAGCCATCTCGCTACTTTGAAAACAAAAACTCTCATAACACTACCTTTATCCAACAAATGTTCCCATCGAGCACCCCAGATCATGTCAGACAGAAATCTTAAAAGCTGCTAACCCAAGATCAAGGTCATGGGGTTAGATGGTAATTCAGTGTGGCAGAGACTCTTCCTTGCCCATCAGAATGGAAAGAAAAGAATATTACATAGAAATCAAAGAAGAGCTTGGAAGGACATATATTTCACAAATGCACTGGTGAGTAAGAGAGAAACCTTATCACAGGCAGTGATAAGAAACTCCTAAGACAACTGGCAGACCAGTGGACAGTGAGACCACACCTTTATAGTGACAGGTTTTCTTTTTGTTTGTTTTTGTTTTGGTATTTAACTGGATAACATATGTGATTTTTAAATTAAGCCTAATAAGGTAATTCTACATAATATTCATTTGAAGTGTTTATACGTCTACAAAGCTGGCTAACTAAAAATTGCTTTTTTTTTTTTTTAAGTGACAGGATCTTGCTCTGTTGCCCAGGATGGAGTGCAATGGTGTGATCACAGCTCACCGCAGCCTCAAACTCCTGAACTCAAATGATCCTCTCACCTCAGCCTCTCAAGTTCACTGGGACTCCAGGTGCATGCCACCACATAAGGCTAATTTTTTTAAAAGATGTTTAATAGAAATTGGGGTTCCTCTATGTTGTCCAGGCTAGTCTTGAACTCCTGGCCTGAAGCAATCCTTCTGCTTCGACCTCCCAAAGTCCTGAGATTACCGGCATGAACCACTACACCAGGCCTAATTGAGTTTTCAATTCTATAAGCTTAAAACTTCTGAATTATCTTTAACTGAAGGTGCTCATTTGTCTTGTTAGCTACATTCAGTTAAAATGTGCTGACTAGAATTTTTCTTTTAATCTAGCCACATCTAGGAACCTACCAGATAATATAAACTGAGAGATTCAAGAGATTAAGTAGTGGCATATGATTTCATAGTTGCTTCCTTTTTGCATGTACAACTGGAAAACTCAGCCTGCTTTTATAACCAGATTACAGCTCATTAAAATCTGAATTCTTTTCTGATCCATATTCTAATTCTGGTGTGTAGTATAATGAAGATTAAGCACAACTTTTGTGCAGACAAATAAGGACTATAAAAAAAAATTCAAACAAACTTAGTCTCCTGGAATTAGACTGTCTCTTAGATCCATTTACTTTCAAATGTGCCTTAAGACATGAAAAAGGCTATTCTTCTCCCACTTGCCTCCTTGCTAATCTATCACCTGACTGCAGATATAGAACCTCTTAGAAAATGAAACTGAGCACAGTGCATCTAAACAAGAAGAGTTTTCTATGTCACAGGAAATCTGTGCAGGCTCCACAATGGCCGACGAGACTGCAACAAATACCTTAAGTGCATCAGTCGGCATTTTTCAGTGTATGGCCTCCTGCTCTGCCTATGGATAAAGATGTAATTCAATCGCTCTGCAGTAAATGGACGCATCAACCTTAAGACATCAAAACCAAGTGCAGCAAAGGACAACAGCCTAGAACCTTTTCTTTAATGCTATCTAAGGTTTACTTTCTTGGGAAAAAAAAAAGACATTATAAGAGACTGTAAAGCAAGAGCTAAGATTGGCTTCCAGACATGCGTATCTATCCTCGCTGGAAACAACACAAGCCACATCTCAGCCAATGGCTCCAAACTGATTCTTAGTGTCCACCCTGCTATTCTTCAAACTCTTCTAAACCAATATGCTTAATACCTCTGTTAGTTCTTAGTTGTCTCCCTCAGAAATTCCAAAATGATCTTGGAAAGATAGTTGAAACTTTTAGTGAAAGCACCTATATATTATCCTCGTCTCTGCTAATCACTCATGGTTTTATGCTTGAACATGGTGTGTGTGTGTGTGTGTGTGTGTGTGTGTGCTCAGATAATATTTTTCTGGTATAAAGATATACATCTAATTAAATCAGTAGGCTTCTTAATGCTCAATATTTTGAGAAATATAAGAAATTATATTTGTAACTCTATAACTGAAATATATAATTTAAATTTTTTCCCCTGAGCCATTTTGATTAAAAAACAAAATACAGAATTTGCTTTTTCCTGCTAGAAACGGCATTTTTGTGTGTGGAAGCTCTACATATGAAATATATAGAAAACAGTTTAGAGACAGTAAACTCAAAAAAAGTTTTCAATTTTAGGAACTGTATTTTCTTCTCTTGAAAAACACTGAAAACAGTAGCATTAATGCTTCTGGGTACTAAGACATAATAACATGAACTAACAGCTTTATTGTCGTAGAACTGCATGCTAACATAACTTATTCCAGATCTCTAAGACAAGCTCAGCTTCAAGTAACATTAATGTAAAGCCCAGGACAGCTCAAAAATAAAATGTCTGAACTTCTCAATAGGAATACAGCTGCTGAGACAATGCTACACTATACCTTACCATGAAGAAAAAGGGTGCTGCCTCTATGTGAGAATATACAAGAGACCCCCTCCTCCTCCACCTGCTGCCACCACCACTACCTCTTCTGTCTCTCCTTCCTCCAAACCTTCACACAGAATACATACGGAAAAGACCATGTGCTCCGGGGCACAATGACGAAAAACATGGGCGCCCAGCCTTCAAGGGGAGCAATGTAGAGTAACATAAGTTCTATGTTTTCTCAAACCATAATTCAAAATTGCCCACAGCAGACACTACTATTCCCTTAGAAGGCACTTTCAGCCAAGGAATTCAGCTTGTACGGAGTGAGCACTTGGCAGAAGGAGTAGGTCTGGAAGCCTGGAAATCCAACCCATCCAATGAGAAACTACACGACTTCTGCCCGGGTTCCTAAGCTGAGAGTAGATCTACATAAGTGCTAATTCCATGTTGAAAAGGTGAAAATAATTAGATGCTTCACACCCAAACCATGCTGAATACATTCTTCAGTAATTATATGCACATTCAAGTCACATGGATCCAATTAGGGATCACTGAGATACAGCGAGGCAGGGCCACCCACCCCTCTCACGTGAAAGGCAGTTTTGGACCCATCTCAGTGGCTGGTTCCTACCTTTCCCTTTTGGGAGTGTGGACTGAGAGCTGTCCGTTGGTAGAGGCATGTGGGTTCATTATTAAAGAGGTCTTGGAAGGTGCAGAGGAGGAGACACATGTCGTGGTCAGATCCAAACTGCTGTGATTGTTGCCTGTGGTTTCTTCTGCAGTATGAGCACTCGTCACTTCTTTCCAGAGCTGCTGCAGTTCTGTTGGAATCATGCCTGAAACAAACAAATTGGATAATTAAATCAATTAACAGCTAATTCCGTCCTCTTCAAACAGTAATTAAATCAAAGAGTCAGTAAACAAAGCCTAGTGTTACGGGTTTTTTTGGTGTGTGCAGTTTTTTTCCCTCCCAACTCAGGCAGATGCGGTAGTAAAAAGTGTGTCCTCCTACTGAGCAACTGAGTGGAAGTTTCCCTCCTTGCATATAAAAGATTCAGGTGAAAAGGATTCAAAACACAGTTGCTTTGCCACAATACTATGCCTCTAACCATCCAAAGTGCTATTTCTCAATTTTTTTTGACAAAAAGTAGATCGATGTTACCTTAGTTTTAGACACAAAGAAGCGCTCAAAATAAATTAGTTCAACTATACTATTATGACAATATGAACTACAAAGTGAATAATTTTTGTGCTTAAGTCTTAAATGATGACAAATAGCTTTGTTATTAAATATAGTTTTTATTAATCACTTCTAGACATAAATTATGAATTCATATCGTCTTCCTGAAATGCTTTTCAACTTTTAACAGTCAAATTGATTATACTATGATTATTTCATTAACACACCTATCTTCCTCATTAATTTTGGTTTCGAGTACCACATGCTTAATTGATGGATGTGTCTACTGAAAAACTGTATAACTTTTTATACAAGTAACACTGTTATTACTGTCATTTCTTAGATCAATGGTAATGAACCATTGCAGAATAAAATGAAAACGTAAAATAAACTTGGAGTAATAAAGTTCTCTTGTTTTTTTAAAGGGGATCAAAATGGACATAGGCCTTTTAAGGAGTGAATCCAGCATTTTCCCCCAAGAAGAGACACAATCAGTATGCCAATGTCACAACTGTGGGCCTCTTAGTCTTTATCCTGGTGGCATGACTCTTGCAGCTCAGGATTTCCAAATCCCACCTTGATGCATATTCTAGCTGATACATGCACAGAAGAAAAATATTCTAGATACCAACTAACAACAACAAACAGTAACTTCCTTTGGGGGAACACTGAAGAGAAACCGTAAGCCCTGAACATGGTAAGGCAATACCACACGAGAAGTGGACTTCTGGATTGCAGTTCATTGTTTCAATCAACTGTAACACAGCCAACCCAGAAAGCCTGCCATTTTCTGACTATACAGCAGCAGCCGAAACAGGCATGTTTCTTACCAAACCTAAGGTATTGAATTAAAAAAGAAGGCTATGCGCATTATATTCATTTGAAACACATAATAAAAAATGCCAAGGTCTAAATTTAATTTATTTTTGTCATTTAGAATACAATGGATAGATAATCATCTCAACGTGATCAGCCAAACATCTTTACTTTGCTAAACTGTTAAAGATTTTAATTATGCTAGCATTGGAGAGCACTGGTCTAATGAGGCGATGGACTCCAGAGAATCCGAGTGGTTAAGAACTGTGAAATGAGTCTGATAGGATTTTTTTATATTCACCGTGGATCGTTTGCATATCAAAGAGGAGTAAATTATTGCACAGCAGACCAATAACCTTCCCCGCCTTTCTGAGGGGAGCGTTAACAAAAACAGTTGGTCTCTCCTAACGGTTCTCCACGAAAATGTTCAAATGCTCAAGTCTTTGCAATTAATATATATTATAAAGGAGGCTTCACATGATACATTAAGTGGTCAGATATTCTTAGAAGGCATCCTCGACAGTTTTCTTCTCCCTTCATAAAAATCAAATGCCAATTATATTTTGATGGATTTTGTCCCAAATGAGCATTTAGTTATTAGGCATATTCAGTTATTACTTGTCCCCTGAAATTAAACCTCGGAGGCAAATTAAACAAAGGGAAAGGTCACTCCACAATCCCATGTCCGGTTTTGCTGCATCTGGGCTATTATTTTCAAACACCTTTCCAAGTGACAGGTGGGATGCATCTGTAAGCTAGCAGGCCTGCCACTGCTGTCTGCACACCAACAATTACCTGTGAACATGGATGACCCTCAGACCACTGTTTACTCAATGGAAACAATAGTTAATAGGCTTGTCTGCTGATGATAGCATATTGATATAAAACCACACAGGTCAACACCTATTTTTATTTTCTAGAGAGTAAACACATGAAAAGAACAAGCCACCTATTTTTCAACTCAAGCTAATTGATTTCTGCGTCAGCTGCATGGGAGATGGGAAGACGAGGACAGGGTTCTGAGAACTCTGTTAACTCCCACTTTCTCTGGAAGAAAAGCAGAACTTCAATGCTGTTTTAAAAGTAAACTGTTTATCCAGCAAATAAAGACAAAGACAAGTGTATTCACCACTTGTTATATCTACAGGGTGCATTAATGTTACTCTACTCGCCATCTATTCCAATGGGCTGGCACATCAGTTTCATTATCCATAGAGAAAAATGGTAAATAAAAATAGTAACTCATTAAGTGACAACAGCGATACTTCTGGGTCAAATTGCAATGTGATAATTACTTTTAAGAACGTTCTCATCACACTTAACACAGAGGCGGTCAAATCGCTCTCTCCTCCATCAATGCCATACATTGTTAGGGATGTTAAACCGTTAGTTCAATGAACACTACCTACCAAAGGGTGTTGTTATTGACGGCTCAAATCTCATGTTAGACAGATAAAAGGTAACCTAGTCACTCATCAGACTAAATGGATATTTCCAGAAAGTATGTATTTCTTCCGAAATGGAAAACTAATAATAATAGTACAAAGTTAAATCCATTAGCAGGTACATAACCAAGCATGTAATTTTCTGCTACCTAGAGTTTACATTTTAAAAATTAAAAGGTCAGAATGAGACTGAAAGAATATTTCTATATGAAATTACTGGTGCTAGGGAGGACCAGATGATTAATGAGACCAAGGTGAAAAGCAGATATGCTAATTATGTAAAACAGAGAGAAGACCCTACAATAACCTTAAAAACAACAGAAAATATCCCTCCATTTCATATTATAAAATCTTCAGGGAAAAAAAAAGGCTTTCAAAATATTAATTATCTATCTATGCCTATACTTGACATTTCCATGTTTAAGGTTAACTCGGCAAGGCCATGAACAGGTATGTAAAATAATCTTGAAGATTTCATTATGAAGTGGGCATTACTAGTATCTTTAACAGATAACCCCCATGCCTTGCAAGGTTTCTTTTTCCAAGACAACTGGCCCCTTCATTACAAAAGAAAATGCAGGCACAGGTTTAAAAAATGTATGTTGTGGGGACAGATGACAGATTACTGTTCATGGAACTCAATTTTACAACCCCAGGTATCAGTGGCTCAAAGACAAACAGAGTTGATCAACCTTTTTTTGTCCTTGTACATCCATACCCAGGTGACTATGTTCAAGCAAGCGGAAAGTTGATTTAAACCTCATAATGACATCAGTTTTAAGCCATCATCTCTCTGATAAAAAAAAATTGTGTTCTAGTCCAACATGACTGAGTTCTCCAGCCACTTTGGGTGAGGGAGTTGGGGAACAAAACCAACCTCCTGATTCAGAGAGATGGAAATAACACTGGTAGTTCACTTTACCACAAGAACCTGCCACCAAAAATATTTACATTTACATTTATGCCATCTCAGGCGCACAGAGAGGCACCCCTTAGATTTCAAACATGCTTCTTCCTAATGTTGCAGGGGCTAATAGTTATGGCAGACTGCTAAGCCTATCAATCAATGCCATGACTAGTGAATTACCTACCAGTGTCTCTGATATGTTACTGCAGAGATTACACTTCATGCATCACCACATTCATTTCTTTCACATTACACATGAGCTTGTCTTGTCACTGCCCAATTGCCCTCTTTTGGACAGCTTAACTGATGTACTGTAACAATGAACCTTAGTGAGCAAACTTAATAGTATAGGAGTGGTGGGAAAAGATGAGAGAGGTTGGAGCTTGGGTCCAGTAGGTGTGTCAGAACAGCCTGCCATGTTTCCAGCAATAAACCCAAAGGTGTAATTAACGCATGCTATAATATTCTGCAAGCACAAAAATGCATTAGCTGATGTATATTCATATATATATGCGTGTATATATATATCATCTCTCATATATCATACACGCATATATATATGAATATATGAATATATACGTATATATATTCCTTCTTTTCTCCTTGTATTGCTTGGTTATGACATCTTCCGTTTTGGCAATGGAGATGCTGAGTATGTATCGAGTGGTCATGGCAGAAAGGAGTGGAGGGGCAAGAGAGAAGAGGAAAAAGCCCCGGTCTCAATATTAAAAACAAAAACAGACTCATAAGGGAAAGAAGTTGGGTGTGGTCGACTCAAGAGAAAAGATTCAAATGAAGACATGCTTCCCTGCCTTCACTTGACCCCAAAAGTTAGCAAACAAATGACCATGCCTTAAGCAACAGAAGGAGGTTCCACATTTTTAACCTTCTTCAGAAGGCAACTGAATCCAAGACACCAATGGCTTTAGCTACTAGCCTTTAAGGCGCATATAAACCAACATCCAAACTTAACTAGAGTTCAAAGAACTTCTGGCCTTAAGGAGGCAACTCAACTCTGCTCTACCATGCATGCATGGATGGGGGAACTGCGCTTCAGAGCATAGGCATGGCACTTTCTACTTTCTCTTTGTCCGCCCTCCCTCCCTCTTGACATCCCTTCCTCCTTCCCTCCCACCTTCCCTTCTAGTTCTGAATAATCCATCTGTTTTCACATCACATATGTGAAAGTCAGAGTTGCTTAAACCAAGATGATGTCCTAAAAACATCTAGAGTTCCCATTTGTTTCTGATGTCCATCACCCTTGGGATAAAATGTCAGTGGGCTTTTCAAAAGAAATTCACTAAATATATAAAATCTTACTTTTCAGGAAATCTCAGAGGTTGAAGAACTGGAGATGGAAATGGTCCCTGTTCTGATGAGTGTAGAACTAACTTGCTCAAAAATCAACAGATGAATGCCGAAAGACAAAAGAAACTAAACAAAAAAACAGCCTTGGCTTTTATAACAGAAAGTGGTTGATTTTAATCATTTTACAGAAAAATAAACCTGAATTTATCCCTAGATATTAAAACATGGCATTTGCTAAGATTTAAAATAGCACACGTTACATGGTAAAAAAAAAAAAAAAAAAAAAAAAGTCTTAAATGAATAATAAAAGCCTTCAGGAAAATTCCTTTGTGGTTCCAAAGAGAAACACTGCAAGAGTCCATTAAAATGCTCAATAAGCGCAAAGTAGTCTCATTCCCTTACTCCAAGAATGTCCAACAGTGGGATTGCTCCGCGACAGCTAAGCCTACAGACCACCCTAAGACTTTATTTTGCCATCAACAAGCATTTTACCTTCTACATGGGTCCATCATTATCCCACTCCACTTTTCTTAAAAGAGGCTATCTGCATGTTTTGATGGACAACGTCCTTAACAAATATACCAAGAGACAGCCTACCACCTCCACCCAACGTCTTCACAGAGCTATGCCTTCTATATAATCAACGCATACCTTGAGCAAGAGGTTGAAGGGGAAGGGCAGGCTGCCCGGGCTGAATTGTCAGAAGGCCTTGGCGCTGCAAAGACAGGAGGTGCTGCTGCTGCAACTGCTGCATCTGTAAAAGCTGCTGCTGAAAAGCCAACTGCTGGGTAGCCACCTGCTGTTGCTGTAAGAAATCAGGAAGAAAAAAATGAGATGGCCACTTCCCAAGAAAGGTTAAAAGTATGGACACATCAAAACCCACCATCATAGTCAAATGCTGAGAATGGTCACTGGAGCTCAGTGCAGGGCTCCGTGTCAAGGTTTAAAAGGGACAGAACATACCTCCTCTGAAGAGGGGTGAGGGGGTGAGTGTTACCTTCCTACTGCCCGCTCCCATAAATAAATAATTTGTCAATCAAGCCAGTTCTCCCCACAGTTTGAAAGGCCTGAGTTTTGTCATCAAGATGTGAACTTTTGGACTTTAAAATTTTTAATTATGCACACTAGAGAGAAGACTGCATCATCCTAGTCTGAAGGGGTTTGAACCCTGAACCTTTGAGGTATAAAAGAACAAGTTGCCTCCCTCCCTGCCAGCAGCGGCAGAAGCTTTTAACTACTCTGTTTATCACTTCTGACATAAATAAATGAGAAAAAATCAGACCTTTGAAGAAGAAAAACTTCATCTAATATTGTTAATTAGCCATGACAAACGATGAAATAACATTGTAAATCTTTCATAGAAACAGCCACTAGATTTTAATTACACACATTCATAATTTAGCAAACAACATCGTACTCGACTGTGAGTTTAATATGAACGACAGTCTAAGCTTCAGATGCCTTAACGTGGCTTTAGTCTCAGAAACCCCCAGGTCTGGTTGCTGGTCCTGCTTCCCCCACCTGCTTTGTTCTTGAAAAGAAGGGGCTTTACGACATGATAAATATCTTTTTGTTGATTGCACAATGACAGGAGGAAAACTTTTGTTGTGTAAAACATCAATACATCATTCCTGTGTTTAGCAGGCCTTGCTTCAGCCAAAAAAATTAATGTAGATTTCCTCAGTAATTATCTGAGTGATAGAAAGATAATACAGTGCAGTAGTACAATAAATAGAAGGAAATTATCTAATATCCTTAATCTGCTAGGAATCATATCGAGGTGGAGGTCTTAGCCACATGATGGCTAACAATTATAAAAGGAAAATTAACCCTTCCTAAACTGTAGCAAAAACAAACAAACAAAAAAGATTCTTCAAGAAAAGAACAAGATCAGTGTTCCTAACTCTGAATATGCTTCAAAAGATCAGAGAGACGTTTACAACTAAAAGGACTATCCAAGCCCTTTCAGAGATTGCATGTTCTGGCTAATAACTATACTTTACAAACAACTGCATTCACTTAACCTAACACATGACCTTGATCTGATACATCCATAAAATGGTATGTATATCAAGACCTTCTGATGCAAAGTTCAAAGAAAGAGAAAAATGGTGGTTTCCTTTCGGTCTTCACATAGTTTATTTTACAGTAAAAACCATCATTCTCATATTAGCAACCAATTTCAGACTTACTACCATGCCACTGAGAAAGTTAATTGAGTTTCACTCCAAAAAACAAATTCTATACCACTAACAACAAAAATTTAAATAAATTTAAATGAAAAGCCAGTGTTTTCATTTTAAGAACAGCATGCATAAAATGATCCAATTGTTTTCACCCCTTCCCAAGTTATCACACTAATGTAAAACCCAATGATAGTTATATTCATGTCAAAATGATTTTTTCACTTCTTCAACAGATATTAACTCACAACATTACAAAAAAAAAGGGAAGGAAGAGAAAAAAACAACATTGACACAATACAAGATCAGGGAATTAGCTCTTCTGAAAGCAGAATATAAAGGAGGGGTGGTATAGCTGGAGGTTGGGGAGGGTGTTTCCTGCCTTACTGTAACTGAAATGTTTAAAAATTTTGTATTTATATAAAATGACTGATGCCTTTTCTGTTGTCTCTGTGGCCATCCCTAGGAAAAGCTCATGAAAGCTGTCTACGTTTGAAAAGCCAGGATATAAAAGTATACAAGGCCCATTGTCCAAAGAAAGAATTTAAAAGCAACACTGGTTGCCAAACTGCGCTCCCCACCCAGTTACCAAACACAGGATACGGGTCCATTTGTTTACTTCTCACAATTGAATGCATACAAAAAAGGTCTCCGTGCAGTCCCCTCGGCAGGTCAGTAGGCAGTGTTAAAATGCTAAAATGCCCTGATAAAGCTCGAGTTTCGGATCCCCTCCCTAGAGCTGCAGTCAAAGGTCTGTTTTCCTTTCTTCGGCTACTCCCTACTGCCTAACATAAACTGTCATAACTGCCCTGGACAAACGGCCCTTTTAAAACAATCAACTTAGCCTACCTCACCCGCACAGGATGGAATCTTTTTATTTCTTTATTTTTTTGTAGCTCATTTTAAAATGAATTCTGCTGTTTTCCACACCACTTCTGCCCAATAATCCTGAGCAGTCACTTCAATACCTGTACTGGGGCTACATCCTCTTCCTCCCCATATCCCTACCTAAGAGCATTTATCTTCTTAAGGAAGGTCCTGTCTTGGTCCAACCCAGTATGGAGCCAAACTTTCCCAAGTAAACATCTCAGGGAACTTTAGGAGGGGAGGAAGAAAAAGATCAGGTGTCTCACTGCAGAGGTAATCAAAATAGGAAAAAAAAAAGGGGGATGGGGGGAGCCTGACAATACAAAATTATGAGCCACTAGTGACTGGGGACTCAGTAAATTAACATACTTGTTCCATCTGTCAACATCCAAGTTCAAACCTTGTTAAAATCATAACCACCAGTCGACATCATGAAATTGCTACCGTGTGACTCCATCTCATTTTAGCACAAAAGGACTACCACCTGCATGATAATTGCAGGAGACTGGCCCCTACCTCAGGAAAATATAAATCTCCTAACCATTGCTACCCTGGGTCTCAGACAAATCCACTGGCACCATGAATCCAAGGAGACCCATCCACTGGTCTGCCTACCTCAAAGGATATGCCAAGCAACCTATCTCCCGGGTCACCATTGCCTGGGAAGTAGAGGACAAAGATGGACCAGAGCAAACCTAGAGACCTGGAGATGCAAGATTGTTACTACAATGCCTCCCATTCTCCTTGTTCAGACACAAAGTGTTCTTCCCCCCCCCATACCCGCCCCACTTCCATCCCAAACTCAGGCACCACTATCATCTTTGTGCTCGGGATGCTCTCCTTTCTGACAACAGCAATTTGGGAGAGGTAACTTTTATCCTTCTTTCTGCTGTGTAACTTTCCCCTTCACATTTCTTTATCTGCCCTCTGCGCTCATCTGAACTTTCATGTTCTCCCAGCATGCAGACGTGCATTCCAAACTATGTCTCACAGACCAAATAAGAGGTTAATAAGAAGTGGCAACAGAAAGGAAAAACACAATCCCTGGTAACTGATAAGAATGACAGTGGCAGCCCTTTTTTGTTTGTCTTCAAATATAGAGTTAAAGATCTTTAAAAAACTAAATTTTGATGCCTTTGAAAAGAAAGAAGCACAAAATAACAACAGGGGGTTATTGCCTGCAAGCCACAGGGGAGAAACTCCATAATTCTTATTCTCCCTTTTGAAGGCTGTTAGCAATCTGATTCAAAAAAGCAACAGCAGAAGGGGAAACCTCTTGAGGCTGTAACCATTTCCTGTGATCATGCATAATGTGCTTCAAAAGTGGGTTTTTACCAATTCTGTTGATCAATTGCACCTCCTTCATACCCCTTCTTTTTTCTGCTGTGTTTACATCTGATGTGACTCAATGACAAGCACTGTCTGAGACTGTGAAACAGGCCTGTCATGTTGATTTATGGGCGCATCAAACCACAACTTGTCCAAACTGAAGCTCGCAGTTCATTAATTAGAGAGTTGTGACTTTGAAGTCAGCTTTCAGACTGTGGTTTTTAACATTTGGCTTAATTTATATGCTCTTGAATGTGGATCTCTAAGGAAAAAACTGAAATTCCCTTCTTGTCTTTGAACTTCTTTTGACCGCACAATAATCATTTCTTTGTCCAGAGTGATGCCTGCAATCCCAGAGTCATTAACGCGCATTGAACTGCCACTGATGAGTAAGCCCTGCTGAATTAGAAAAACAGCCAGCAAAACAAAGCTGAGAGCCTTCTGCACAGTGATATCTCACAATTACATGCCTTCCCTCCCTGTGCCATTTCCATTTTAATTACTGTTAGTCCTTTAGATTTACATTTTAGACACTTTTTAATCTGTTCCCTTTTTTATTATAGCAGCACCCGGTAGCGCGCCACTGTACTTAAGGTTGTGTCAGCATTTTCATTAAAACACCTCCTCCCTTTCACCCCAAAACTGCCCCTGCTCTGTAGGGGTTTACATCCGGGCTGCTCAACAAGACTCCAGGGTGAAAACTTGGCAGGACATGGAAAACGTCCCCAGTTTGCGTCGGGGGAGGAGGCAGCAAAGGGAGAACGGCTGGGTCACTCCCAGTGTGTAAAATTAGCATAGCCCGGGATCCTCATTCAGGTGAGGGGCAGGGACGTCGAGTCACCTGGCAGGAGGCCCTGCAAAAGAACAAAAGTGGCCACCTGCTTAGGGCTGGCAAAGAAGCTGATGAAGTGGACGACGTGCTGTATATAGAATTATAAATTGTGTCATCCCAAGGAGAACACTTAAACAAAAAAAAAATTTCAGTCCACTGTAAAAATATGAGGAGGCAAGTTAAATTGGATAACTCTGGAATGGGTAGAAAGATGTCATAATAACGCACACATGCACACAGATACGCCCACAACTGAGTCTCGCCCACGTAGAACTGAAGAGAAGGTGAACTGGTAACTCCCTGGAAAGGCTTTACCGTTTATGGGACTAATACTGTCAACCTTTCTGGTGTGGCATAACGTGGTAAGTTATGGACACTCCTAAGCATGGTGCATGTAGAAGCTATTATATACTTTTTTCTGACCCCTCAGGAAAACACAACCCAAGCTGGAGTCTTCTCTTAACTTTAACTCACGCTATCTGGTACATGCCTTTAGCAATCACATTATGTACAACTTTCAGGAAGAAGTTAAACAAAAGATGTGGATGTTTAATCTTGTTCTAACTTTTTTGTTTGTTTATCCAACTCACAAGGGGTTATTCTTCAAATGGAAAAGGCCATCACCACACACCCAAGCTCTCTGAGCTGGGGAAAAAAAAAATTAAGTGTGCATCCAAGTAAAATTTTTCTGAAAGCACTTCACTTCCCACAGCTCCATCCTGGCCCTCAGTTGTTACCAGGTTGCAAAAAGTAACCTGAAGCCTCTGTCAATGATCCCTCTCCTGATCTTCACACAGGTACACGTGCAGTGGTGTTATAAAATATGTGGCAGCAAGCAAATGGAACCCAGAAAAATCTGAGCGAAAACAGGACAATAACTTTCAGTCTGAAAGCTGAGAACCGATAGAGTCAGCTCAGTTGTGCAATCATTTAAAAGATGAATGACAGTTTAATAGCCACTAGATAGTCCTCTGGGATCTGTGGTTTGAAAGTAAAATATGTATTGTCGGTACCTCTTTAGGCTGTTTTCCAGCATGTTGTTGTTGTAAAAGTTGAAGCTGCAACTGTTCCTGTTGTTTTTTATAAAACTCTTGAAGCTGCTGCTACAAAGGAAAGAGAGGACGGTAAGTAACAGAGGGTAGCGCCAATGCACTGTCCCTTTTGGTGCCATACACAAACTGTGATTTGAAAAATAGCATCCTTTTATCTGTAATGGCCTGACCTTTAGTTTGAAACTCGACAATAAATTCAGCGCACATTGACTATTCTTGGCATTATTGTTTGAAAAGTAATCTCCAAAATGAACTGATGAAAAACATACCATTTTCTACACAAACTAATTAAAATAAGGCAAGGAATGACCTTTGATTGTACAACAAAGCGAAATGCCCTTGCTGAGAGAGTCTGGTGAATCTCTTCTGCATGCTTTCTAAATGACAGCGCTGGGCACTATGCAGTGTTATTCAGTGTATGCAGGGACAGCCTGGGAGCTTCCGCTGCATCCTGTCCCCACCACCCCAGGCCAGTGACTCCCACCGCTGTAGTTCCGAATCTCATCTATTTGGTTCAGGTGGCTGTGAAGTCTGAATATTAGGTCCCCATGGTGCAATGACAACCAGAAGTTCATTACAGCAACATCGTACGTGGAAGAAGTCAAATCAACTCTGGACCTTAAAATTAGCAAACTCCAAAATGTTTCTTTACGTTTAAAGAAAAAAAAAATCAGTAAGCTTCTGAGCTGAAACGGGGACTTCAAGAGCTGTCATATTTAAACCACTCCCAACGTGCTCCTCATTTTGCTTTGATTCATACCATTTAAGGAGCCTCTGGGCTTACCAAATAAAAGAGTATAAAGCCATCTAAGCCTAAAAGATCTTACTGCTACCAAGGCCATTACAGCGCTGATCTCAGTCCATCAGGTACTCTCCAGGCCCAAAGCCTAGTCACTGTGGCAGGGCTCCTCTCTTTCAGGCATGCAGAAGCTCACTGATTATTCAGGGACTGGTCTGTGTCCTGCCCCACCCACGCCGCTCTACTTACTCTTCACTGGGCAAAGGAGCTGCTCTGGTGGAGGGGAGACTGAATGGAGCAATGCGGGCCCTAGGTTCTGGGGGAGACAGGCTGGAGGTGGAGGAAGGACAATTACCTGTTGAAGCATGAGGGCCTGCTGCTGCTGGAGGAGAACCTGGAGCTGCTGAGGGCTCAGCACTTGTTGCTGGAGGATCTGCTGCATTTGCTGGGGAGTGATAACTTGAGGTGTCATCATAGCCACTGACACGGGAACCTAGAACGTTAATGAAGGATAAATAGGAAGCCAGGAAATCAGAAGCACGCAGCCTCCCAGGTTCAGCCGCAAGACTGCCATCAGCCTGCTTAAAGAGTTGACCAATTTCCCATGCAACATGTTATTTATCCGGAGGGGATGCAGCAACAGATCCTAGTTAATCTATGATGGAGTTTATTTTGAGGAAAGAAAAATAAAATCTTGCAGTACTGACAGGGGTTCCAGGCAGCCTTGGAAGCAGACAAAAAGGACAATCTTAATAAAACCCTAACTGGAGTTAGGATAGACAGTTCTCAATTGCTTATTAAGAGTGAGTTTTTGATCAAAATGATCTGTGGCAAGTTAAACCAAACTTGGATTTTGTTTTAGGGAAGAAGATAAATGGGAACCAACGCCTTTGCAGTTGGAGCTCATGTGACCCACTCACTCTGTGGACAGTGATTTTAAGAACAATCCATGAATGCTTAAACTTGCGGGGAATGGAACCTTGGACACACCTTCTGAACTTAAACACAGATCCTTCGCGTGATGCCTTTTACCCTTCCTTATTCCCCCAGCATACAGATGTCTCAATTCTTTCATATTATGTGCAATACCATTAAAAGCCGCTTTCCATGACATTTCAGTGACAAACAGCTACAGTGATGAACTTGATAGCATTTCATATTTGCAACTGTTAACACGTTTCTGCACGGGCATCTCTGCAAGGAACCTGCACACTGTATCTGAAAGGATGATGTCTTGTTCAGATAAAACACTGACATTAAAATGACAGGCTGTCTTGGCCAAGGTTACACAAATTGTATTCAAGCGGATACCTAATGACAATGCTATGAATTCTGCAAGCTTTCTAGAATGTAATTTAGCTATTCAAAATAATCACTGCACTTGTGTTTAATTTGCAGACTACATGAGAACCATTTTGTCAGTCCCCGTAATGCAAGAAGACTATTTCATGAAAAATCAACCCCCCCGTAAAAAGATAAGGAAAGAAAACAACAATGAAAGCAAAGACAAAACCTGTATATCTTTTCCCCGTAATATTTAAGCATCTTACTTTTCTTGGTTTCTAATCAAACATGTGACAGCAAGAAGCTAGAAGCAGTAAAGGATATACTTTGTTAAAAAGGATCTGCTGTCATCTCATGTATTACAATAAAAGGTAATAACATGTTTTGCACTTTGCCTGTGTGCCACTTAAAAAAAAAATTCCGGCAGACAATAGCTGATCAGAAGATAAAAGAATCAAAAAATCTTTCAGGGGAGCAGTAAGCAAAAGGCAGAAATGCAGTATTAATTTTATGTAACAAAATGTCTTAATATGCAGTTTATCTTGACTTTTTCACATGATTTGTCCTGTCATTTGCATAGCGAGCTCTCATTCCTAATTTCACAGTCATTATGCACTGATGTCCCGATTTCTCAGCATCACTAATTTTGATGAACTAAAAATGGTTCTTGAAGGTCAGATTCATGTACAGTGAATGTTCTCCACTGTTGTGGTAGGCATGTTTCATGTGTGGGGATGTTGGTGTGCAAGTTTCGTGTGTTTGGAAAACACTAGCTAGAACATTCGAAAAATTTCATTAACCCAGCTGTGGAAGGTCATCTATGAATTCTTCCTATTCCAGTGGCCTTTTAAGTGTAGATGGAGATACACTGTAATTTAAAACAGATGGGCATATCTGAATATTTTCATATGCAAAATGGGACAGATGTATATGAATGGATAAATTATCCTTTTAAAAAAATACTTTGTAGCATGAAATATCACCCATGATTGGAAGAGTGAACCTGCATTCTGTCTAGGGCAAACACCAGGAAGACATTATCAAAACATCTAACTATCTACAAACTAATTTCAATTAGTCTACTTTGTCTTCATACAGAAAAAACTTTTTCGATTTTTAAATATGTATTGGGTGCCAATCCGTATCCTTTGAGCTGCTAAAGCCAGCATATCACAATAGAAGTTTACTTTTCCTTGAGAGTTGCATCACTATACGGGGAGGTATGATTAAGCAAACAAAAGAACCATGTTTAAGGTCTCTTTTTTCCTCTGTGTTTCTTGGATGATGTACAATATAAATATTCTTGAGCCAAATTTCTGATGGTGATGAACAGGAAAACAGACAGGAATAGGGTGGTGTAAGATCTAAACTGGTGATGAACATGAACTTAACAGAGTTAGGACAGAAATCATCATAGAAATAACCTCCTGGTCATAATTTTTCAAAGACCTATGGAAATCTCATGCCAGAAAGGGACACAGGTGAACTTTCGGAGGCAAAGGAAATATCTTATATCTCAACTGGGATGCTGTTCATACACATGTACACGTTTTTGACAATTGTATAATTGTCAAAACTTTTCCAACTATGCGCTGAAAATGAGTATATTTGAGCTCAGGTAAATTATCCCTCAATAAAATTGATCTTAGAAGTTACATATGTTTCCTAAAATAGTTTTTCCCCTTAACTCTGGTAAAACTAGAAGCATCTTCTTAAAGGAGAAACAACTTTGTCCCTTGACTGTCAATAATAAAAGGGGGAATCATGGACAGGCCTGACTTATACCTGCACAGACAATTTTGAAAGGCTGACATCCAATCAGTAGCTTAAATCTCCTTTTCCCACAATTATTTATTCCTTTTTTTTTTGCAGTCCTGGTACAGAACAGGATAATGAACTTGAGTCTCCCCTTCTTTTTCCTTTTGGACATTTTGATGCAAGTGCTGATGAGTAATCATACGCTTTACAGCAGCAGGCACCGCCAAAGGACGGGAGGAAGCATGAGGCCTGAGTAATCCTCCAAACGGGTTGATCAGTCTCTGAATAATCAGAAGTGGGCTATTATATCCTGATGGCCTTAACTTCGCTTTTACTATCTGAAACCACATTTTCATACCAGTGAGCTCTGGGCCTCCAAAGTGGGCTCCAGCTTCATTTACCAATGTTATAAAACCGAGAATTCCCCAAAGTTTCTGTTCCAACATATCATGAAAAGAGGTTATGGGAAGCTTTAACAAACATATTCAAATGGACCAGAAACTATGGTGGGGTAGAAAAGAAAAAAAAAAAATCTGAGCACAGTTTTTAAGGCTTTAAATAGTTAAGAATTATAGGCTATATATCCACTCCCTTAATTCCCAATGTCCAACTTTTTCATGTAGCTAGTCCCTACTAACACTAGGAATCAAAGGGCATGCAGTACCAGCGAGAGGCTATTACAGCCCACACTTTATTGCCCATTACTACTGAGGTCATTAGCGGCAAGAGTGATTGTAGCAGTCTTAACCTATTGATCACTGTAACTACTATCATTTAATCCTGTGTTGAATGTCTGGAAAGCGGCTAAAGGCACACAAGAGAGAGTGCTTTAGCATTGAGAAATATGGCCAAAGCTTCGAAATTACACTTTGATTCATAAAATCTAGCCAGTGGTTTAAATCAATAGTATTTAAAACAGTCATGTGAGTTTTTAACTACAGCACTCTAATATTTATGGGCCCCTCTTTGAGAGTATTCAGTAAAAACGAAACTTTTTTTTTTCCAGATTCCATGCCATCTACCTCAACCTCCTTGAGATAAAAATATTCATTTCTGATGTTTTCTGTGCTACAGGGCTCATGCCTTAACTGGGAGTTCAAGCTAATTCTTCATTTCTTTCTCAAAAGACGATTTAAATATAAGGCAAAAAAAAAAATTCCGATACTGTAACTACCTTAACTATTTGAGTATATAGAAATGAGTATGTTTTATGAGTTAACAATGAATCATAGAAGGCAATTTATGAAGAACTAGAATGATTCTGTCTAGCTGCCTTCAGGGATCAGAAATTCAAATTAAACTTCTGGCAGACATTTAAAGAATGCTAGCATACAAAACTGAATTTAAAAAAACGCACACAGTTAACACTCCTCAGTGGAGTTTCAAGAGGAAATCATGAATTAAAAAAACACATGGCATGATACACTGTTGACTGATATCAACTGGGTGTGGCTGCTCCCAGGTGCACACAAACCTGCGGGAATGGCAGAAATACAGCTGTGCTTGGGACATCACAGCTCTGCTAGTATGGGCCTGCTGCTACCTTAATACCAGCAACTGGGAAAACAGTGTTAGCACTAACAACCGCTGCTGAAAGCCCCTATACTGCTGTGTAAATTCTGCCTGATATGGCTTCCTTTTCCTTCAAAATGACTCTCTATCACCTGAATGCTGAAGTCTATTAAAATCATATGCCTTATTATTTTCTTTAACACCCCATGGGGAAAGGTAGACGATGGGAAGAGAAAAATCTAAAAAGCAAACAAACAAATAATAACACTCAGAGAAACAATACTTATTTCTAATCTAGGAGACAATTGAAGGAATTGAGTGGGAGGGGAGAAGACACAATATAAATACTGAAAATAACATGTTATCATTTTTCTCTCTGTAGTTTACACTCCAGTCAACTCTAAGTAAATACTACCTAGTATACACACACATACATTTACATTTTGCACATCAGTTATCGTCCCATAATTACTATGTGTACAAATAATAAAAATGAGAAGATAAAAAATTTTAAACATTGTTCTATTTTTATTAACCTGGTTAATAATTTAAAAACTCTTTTTACCCTCTGATCATTCGCCACATGTATGTCCCAGGAAATTCACTTCCCTTCTAGCCTTCGGGCTGTATCTGGGTGACAACTGGCCAGGTTTGGCAGTGTCACCTGGTTAATCAAATAACAGGAGCAAAACAAATTAAATTAGAAGGCTCCAGAATGTCACAACAAAACCAAACAGAGAATATAGCTCCATTAAAGAAAGAAAAAAAACTATGCCAAGTTTTTATGGTCATATATAAGCTAGCCTGTGTGGAGAAAATTAAACATCACCTCTGGGCCCCTGTGAAAAACAAGTTTTTATAATTAATAAGCCAATGGATACAACAGATGCACTGGCAAACATTAAAGTTACAAAGCTTCTATTTCTCCATGGTATTTAA